CACACACACACACACACACACACACACACACACACACACACACACACACAGTTATTACAGGTCTATAGTTAACCCTAACCTGAACCAGAACTTAACTCACACCATACCTCTAAACCTAACTAGTAAAGAACAGCAGAGCTGAAAACAAAGTGAGGACCAGGAAAATGTCCTCACTTTGCATCAAAAACCCTCACCTTGATAGCATCTATGGCAGAAATGGTCCTCACTATGTAGTAAAAACAAGTACACACTGTCACACATATATCAGGACTCAGTTAAGGACGTGTGCAGTATACTCAATAGTTTTGGGTAAATTCCTTTCCTAAAATCCTTAAAAATTTCAGACCTTTAGAAATAGTTTATTAAAGGGAATATTCCAAAGGCATGAAATAACTATCATGTTAATTTTTTTGTTTGTTTTGTATCTTGTCCACAGCTTTGAAATAAAAAAACATGCATGTTACACAACAATGCAGCTCAATTAGGTGCTGTGACTTTTGGTAGCTGAACTGTAAGAAAAAAGGGAAATCAATAGGAATTGTACAAAGCAGATAATAAAACCCGGCCTTATTTAAAGCTTTACAGCTCAGACATACTTTACAATAGAAACATGATTCAAAGTTTTAACAAGTCACAGAAAGTTGGACTTCACATGTCTGAATTTTAAACATATTTTTACCTGAAATATCAGCCATCTCAAACTCTGCCATTTCTCTCTGCACCTGCATTCACACACAATCAGTTTAGACTCCCCATTTTATTATTTCATCCTAATACTTTGTGAAAACACAGTGACAAGTGAAACAACCTCCTTGGGAATCTGCTTGAGTCCTTGTTTCTCTTGTTCTGCCGCCTCCATCCTCTCACGCTCTCTCTCCCTCTCAGACTCGGAGGACTCGGGGCCCCTCTCGCCGACCTGAAGGTCCGAACCCGGCAGAGGCGTGATGATCGCAGCCTGTCTCCATAGAGACAGAAGCTCATCGGGCAAATCTGCGGGGGGAAATAACCCCTTGTGGTTTATTTTGTAAAGGTTACCCGAGTCGTGTTCTTTAATAAAGCTGCAGCTGAACGTGAGAAGAGTGCAGAAAAATGTGACTGCTGTGACAATCTGAGCAGGAACCAGTGGTTACTCTAGAGCAAAACAACAACTGCAAGAACAGACAAACTTCTGAATCAAGCCTTTAGCAGATGTTTGTGGTGAAATGTGATGGTGAACAGGTGCGTATTAATGGTGTGATGTGATGGGGAACAGGTGTGTATTAATGGTGTGATGTGATGGGGAACAGGTCTGTATTAATGGTGTGATGTGATGAACAGGTGTGTGTTGATGGTGTGATGTGATGGTGAACAGGTGTGTTGATGGTGTGATGGGATTGTGAACAGGTGTGTGATGGTGGTGCAATGTGATGGTGAACAGGTATGTAATGGTGGTGCGATGTGATGGTGAACAGCCGTGTTGGTGGTGTGACGGGATGGTGAACAGGTGTGTTGGTGGTGTGACGGGATGGTGAACAGGTGTGTTGATGGAATGATGGGATGGTGAACAGGTGTGTATTGGTGGCATTATGTGATGGTGAACATGTGTGTTGATGGTGTGATGGGACGGTGAACAGGTGTGTGTTGGTGGTGTGATGTGATGGTGAATAGGTGTGTGTTGGTGGTGTGATGTGATGGTGAATATGTGTTGGTGTGATGGGATGGTGATTGGTGTGTTGATGGTGTGACGGGATGGTGAACAAGTGTGTTGGTAGTGTGATGTGATGGTGAATAGGTGTGTGTTGGTGGTGTGATGCGATGGTGAATATGTATGTTGGTGTGATGTGATGGTGAATAGGTGTGTTGATGGTGTGATGGGATGGTGAACAAGTGTGTTGGTGGTGTGATGTGATGGTGAATAGGTGTGTGTTGGTGTTGTGATGTGATGGTGATAGGTGTGTTGATGGTGTGATGAACAGGTGTGTGTTGGTGGTGTGATGTGATGGTGAATAGGTGTGTTGATGGTGTGATGGGATGGTGATAGTGTGTTGATGGTGTGATGTGATGGTGAACAGGTGTGTGTTGGTGGTGTGATGTGATGGTGAACAGGAGTATTGATGGTGTGATATGATGGTGAACAGGTGTGTGTTGGTGGTGTGATGTGATGGTGAACAGGAGTATTGATGGTGTGATGTGATGGTGAACAGGTGTGTGTTGGTGGTGTGATGTGATGTGATGGTGAACAGGAGTATTGATGGTGTGATGTGATGGTGAACAGGTGTTTGTTAGTGGTGTGATGTGATGAGATGGTGAACAGGTGTGTGTTGATGGTGTGATGGGATGGTGAACAGGTGTGTGTTGGTG